GTTACACGAACTGTTTAAACAGTATATATATACATGATTTTTAAACTCGCTGATTTTAACAAATCTTAACGTAAACAACTTTATTCATATTCATTTTAAGGATTTTCCAACGAAAGGTAATCATATATATATAAATATTCGTCGTCGCAAACTGTGCTTAAAGTATTTGCTTATATGTTATTTAATATGAATTTTAAAAGGTCAACAAGTTACGTATTACATAAAGTCTATTTCAAGAGAACTAACAGATCTCTTTGTGCTATCGTTTACGACATGAAAAATTTGGCAATAACAACTACGAAACAACACTATGTCTTGAATTTTGATAAAAAAGAAGTCTTTGTTGTTAAAAATTCTTTGAGAATTTATAAAAAAAAAAGACGTACTAATGGATATAACTTGGATGTAATCAAATCTTTGGATGATAATGTTTCAATTAATATAGATGGTAGCAGTCTTAAAATTAAAGGAAAATGTAGACTTAAATTTAAACGTTAATAATTTTGTTATCAATTTTACGAAATATAAAAAATATAGTATCAAAAAGTTGATTTCTTAGCAAATAAATTTATCATTTTCTTGTAACTATTGTTAAATAAATTGACTTATATTAATTTTAAAATAAGAGGCTGGTTTGTTTTAGTTTGTCTCTAACAGCAATTAAAAGTAATCAGAAAATAAACTGAGTTCAAATAATAAAATTTATTTGATTTAATTAATTGACAAAACACCATGAGTTCTAAGAATATTATTACTTTAACTAATAAAATTAGACTGTGTTAAAATTGCCTATTACAAATTTATTTATTTAATCAAATTTATTAATAATAATCTATTTCATAAGAATAGTAAAAAAAGTAGTAAACTATTCGACTCAATATGTAATAGATTCATCTTCTCTTGGTATACCACTCTTTTGGTTTATAGTCATAATTTTCTTATAAAATGTCTTGTAAGGTAAGATGAGATTTTATTATTTTGCTCCATTTGAATGAAATATTTAAGTCGTAAATATGTGAATATAATAGTTTGGGATTTTGCTAATATGTATCTGTGTACTGCCTAAAATGAAAATACAGTTATCATCACCAAAATTCTAGAAAATTCAAATACATTATTATTTTCTTATCATCTTTAGCATAATACTTTTATTAGAAATAATTTTTGTAAAAACAATATTATGATTTTATCAGTGGAATAGTTCTTATGTTTGTTATAATCCTTATTCGATGCATTTTAAAGAAATCAATATTAAAAAAAATAATATAAGATCTGTTATGAAAGTTTGTAGATTTCATATATATATTCAACCACATTGGAATTGGGTCAATCCTGGGTATGATGTTTTAAAGTTGGAAGAACATTGTGATTGTGTTTTCTTGATTGATGAAGATGAGAAAGATGTTATAAATCTGTTTCGAAAGATATAAAATTAGAATTAATTATTATAATCACTATCAATCAATTGCATGATGATAAAAAATTATTTATTGTTCTTTATGCTCTAGTTTTATTCTCAGAAAAAATAATTTATTAGATTTAAATACTTGTGAAAATTGTAAAGACTTCTTTTATTTCGTAGAATGAAATCTGGTTTGTCTTGATGTTATATAAGATTTATTGGATTTTGAACCAAAAAATTATAAAGGTGTTTTGATTTACTTTATCTGT